GCAGGACCTGGTAGAGCACTGTGGGCACATGCTCAATCTGGTGGCAGGAAGCTGGACAAGCTCAGCTTCTATTTCTGTGGCCACATCCTGAAAGTTACTGAGCAATTAGAGGAACTGATGACTTTGGCACACTTCTGAGGACTCACTGTGTGATCCTATGGACAGGTGGGTGCAAGTTATTATCGGAACAGTGGTCCCATGAAGAGGAGTTTTACAAAATCAGATCTGTAATGCACTCGCTGCAATCCTGGCTTAACTTGCTGGGTCTTAATGTCCCCTAAAGGCATTTTCAGTCTTCAAGTAGACCTGGGACACAGTTCAAATGAAGGAGGAAGGTGTCTTTAACGTAATTTGGTTTTGACTTTTTTCCATTAAAAGAGCCTCATTTTCCTCAAAAAGCCTCATTTTCAGTTCATGGAAACTGGAACTAAGTGGGGGATCCCTGGAGAGCTTTAGCCAGAAAGAGCAAACCAGGCAGCAAAGCACGGGAGGCAGTGTTGTTAGTTCATCAGCTGGGAATGCCCTTGTCCCCCTCAGAGAGCAGGGAAAGCTCTTGCTGACAGAAGCTTTTCTAAGAGATTTCTGGCCCTGCTGACATCACGGGGTCACTCTTCTGCCTTTGTCTACAACCGGATGGTGAATCTCATCTCTGTTCCCCTTGTGCCTTTCAGCTCACCACTGCAAGCAGCCAGAGACCCCCTCCCATGCCAACGTCGGTGCTCTGGATTTGCCATCTCTGGGCTACACCTTGATCTATTCCTGTCAGAGCGGGTTCTACCTCACTGGAGGATCCGAGCATCGAACTTGCAAAGCAGACGGCAGCTGGACAGGAAAACCTCCCATCTGCCTCGGTAAGAGCTCCGAGAGCGCTGCTCTCATGTGTGCCTGCCCCTCTGCAGCGGGGCAGTGCAGCCCAGGGAAGACTCCTGATCTCTCAGACCTGTACCAGCATGCCAGAAGTCCGCTGTGGCTGCCCCATCCCTGGCAGTGTTCAAGGCCAGGTTGGACACAGGGGCTTGGAGCAACCTGCTCTAGTGGAAGGTGTCCCTGCCCAGGGCAGGGGTTGGAACTGGCTGATCTCTAAGGTCTCTTCCAACCCAAACCATTCCATGATGCTGTGATGCTCACGACTGTGCTTTGTCCCCCTCTTTCAGCCGATGTCCGCCCCAGTGGAAGGCCGGTTGGCACCGCGCGGGACCCGCCGCTCACCAAGGTGTCAGGTACCATAGCAGGGCTCGCTCCTCCATGGGACACGTTAGCACCAGATCTCACCCTTACCAGGCCCATCCCTTCCTGTCCCTTGCCCAGGACAGCCAGAAACCTGGCTGTTCCTTGCGGATATTGAAACTGCTGGGCTGGTGCAAGCAGCCCA